TCTGCTCGGCTGCAGGATTTCAGGCTCCTGTCCCCACGCACGGCTGCAGCATCCTCCCTGCTGGCTGCATGCACGCTGTGTTGTTAGCAGGCAAGTGATGGGGAAATTGTAGGGGAACGTTAGGGAAATCCGCTGCCATGCTTGGCTGAGAGCCTGGAAGCACTGCGGAGGTAGAGAGTGAGGGAGGGGAGGGGAGGATCCAGCCTCTCTGGCATCCCAGCATCTCCATAAGGATCTGGTTTGGGGTTGGAGAGGCGTGAATGGAACCTCGGTCTGTAGGGAAATGCCTTCCTGGGTTGTCCCACGCCAACGAGCCCTTCCTGCTGCGGAAGGGAGAGGAGAGCAGCTCTTCCTGCTGTCGTCGTGCAGCGTTTACATCTCCCAGCACAGAACTGGTGTGGCGTGGGATGCGGCTCAGAGCGGGATGTTGTGTTGTAGCTCCTTCCTCTGGGCTGCTTCTGTCGCTTGTGCCTTATTTTGTGATAGTAGAATGTCCAGAATGGAGTCATGTAAAGTCCTGGGGGATCCTGTGGGGCGGCGGGGGGGATTTGGGGTCCCCCAGCAGGTGAGGGTGGATGTGGGGTCCCTAGGAGATGGAGGTGGATCTGGGGTCTCCCTGAGATAGGGGTGGAAATGGGGTCCCCAGGAGATGGAGGTGGATCTGGGGTCCCCCATCAGATAGAGGTGGAAATGGGGTCCCCATGAGGTGGAGGTGGATATGGGCACCCCAAGAGACGGAGGTGGATAGGGGGTCCCCCAGGAAATGGGGCTGGATACAGGGTTCCTAGGAGATGGAGGTGGATACTGGGTCCCCCAGCAGATAAGGGTGGATTTGGGGTCCCCATGGGATGGAGGTGGATATGGGGTCCCCCAGGAGATGGAGGTGAATCTGGTAGATAAGGCTGGATATGGGGTTCCCAGGAGATATGGAGATAGTTGACCATGATCAAGAAGATCCTTAACATCCCAGCATAAGGCAACAACCACCTCCTTGTTGCCCATTTGAGTCTGGTTTGGTTTGGAAAGCCCTTGGCTTCCTCACAGGGTGTTTCCAGGCAGATTCCTGCAAAGCAGAATCTCCTATGGAAACGCTTTTCCTAAAAGCCAGTGTTGCACTGGGATGTCCCATTTCTGCACAGCCAGATGCTGGCTGCAAAGTGCCAGCAAGATGCTGCGTGCAGGTGTCAAAAGCTGGGCTCAATGAGCGTGTATTTAATTACAGAGCAAAGATCCCCACGCAAGGCTGCCCGATTTTATGGGTTAGTCACAGTGACAACATTGGATTTCATGGTTGGGATGGAGAAACAAGAGAAATTAAGTGAATGTTAATGCGACACGATGGGTTTGTGCATCCCTCCTGTGCAGGGCTGGTAGTTCTTCCATTTGGAATCACATGAATGTGATTAGGGAAGGTTTAGGTTGGATATTAGGAGGAAGTTTTTCACCCAGAGGGTGGTGAGGTACTGGAACAGGTTGCCCAAGGAGGCTGTGGATGCCCCATCCCTGCAGGCATTCAAGGCCAGGCTGGATGTGGCTCTGGGCAGCCTGGTCTGCTGGTTGGTGACCTGCACATAGCAGGGGGCTGGAACTGGATGAGCATTGTGCTCCTTTTCAACCCAGGCCATTCTGTGATGTGATTCTATGAATGTGATGGTAGAGTTATTAAGGTTGGAGAAAACCTCTCGGATCGTTTGCTCTGACCTTACGGTACGGTGCAACGCAGCAGCAGGAAGCCAACCCTACAGAAAGTGGTGATGCTGGGGACCCGGATTACCCCACTGCTCTCTTTGCAGCCATGAAAGCCGACCGCAAGCGCTTGAAGGCAGAGAAAACAGACCTGGTGAGCCAAATGCAGCAGCTCTACGCCACGCTGGAGAGCCGCGAGGAGCAGCTCCGCGACTTCATCCGCAACTACGAGCAGCACCGGAAGGTGAGCATGTGGCTTCTCTTCCTTTGGGGCTTCAGGATGGGTTTCTTTGGGGTTGACCCTAAAGGCCACATGAGCCAATCGCCCTGCAGTGCACAGGGACACCCACAGCTCTACTTACAACCCCTCCAGCCTGACCTTGGGTGTCTGCAGGGATGGGGCATCACCACCGTATCTCCAGGCAGCCCAGTTTAACTGCTCCCTTTTGCTGGCCAAAGCCCTAAGGCAGCTTGCTCCCATTGTGCCTGCAAGGTTGGAGCGTGCAGAGCGCACACGCAAGCAGTTGCTCTGTAATAAAGAGCATTTTTGGGATGCTTTCGGGATGGAAAGCTGGAGGGTTGCAGCGAGGCTTCCTGTTGCGCTCGCGGTTCTGCCATCCACAGGCACGAGCGAGCGTGGGAACTCAGCTCCCACAGCTATTCTGGGCTTTTTTTTCCATGCAAAGGGAGAAATTTGCTATTTTTGAAGGCTGGTGCCATAGGAGCAGTGCTCACAGCCAGCTCTGGGTTAGCTGGGGCAGACATGGGGACATTTTTTCCCCTGCCACAAGGAAGCCGTTGCAATCTTCAGTGCGCAGAAAAAAAAACAGGGAGCATGGGGTGAGGTGTTGGCAGAGCTGTCTGGCTTTAGGGCATGGTGCTTGCATCCTGTTTTGGGGCACAGATGTCTCATTTTGGGGCAACGTTGTCCCATTTCGGGACACAGACATACTGTTTTGGGGCACAGGTGTCCTATTTTGGGAGACAGGCATCCCGTTTTGGGCACAGGCATCTCATTTTGGGGCACAGGAATCCAGTTTTGGGGCACAGACATCTCATTTTGGGGCACGAGTGTCCAGTTTGGGGCACATGTGTCCAGTTTGGGGACATAGGCATCCCATTTTGGGGCACATGTGTCCAGTTTTGGGGCACAGGCGTCCAGTTTTGGGGCACAGACATCTCATTTTAGGACACAGGTGTCCCATTTTGGGACACAGACATTCTGTTTTGAGGCACAGGCATCCCCATTTTGGGACTCAAACATCCCATTTTGGAGTATGGGTGTCCAGTTTTGGGCACGGGTGTCCAGTTTTGGGACACAGACATCCCATTTTAGGGCATCTCGATTTGGAGCACAGGCATCCCATTTTGGGACACGGTGCCTGCAGGGAAGGCCGGGAAGGGGGGGATTTTAGCCATTCCCTATCTCAACACCTTCCCCATGTTGCACCAGGAGAGCGAGGATGCAGTGAAAGCCCTGGCCAAGGAGAAGGACCTGCTGGAACGGGAGAAATGGGAGCTGCGGCGGCAAGCCAAGGAAGCCACCGACCACGCCAGCGCCCTGCGCTCCCAGCTGGACCTCAAAGACAACCGAATGAAGGAGCTGGAGGCCGAGCTGGCCATGGTGAGCTCAGCCTTACAGCATTTCCCAGCTGTGCAGAGTGCCTGGTTTGGGTCAGGGGTCAGCATTTATCGCATTGAGGTGGATGGAGCGGCGTTGCGGTGTTGCGTTTGAGCATTGTCACAAGATTGCATTTTTTTAGGGTTTGTTGCTGTGTTGCCTGGGTTCATTGCAGCGTTGCATCCACATACTATCTCCAGTGCTGCAGCATTGCATCCAGGTGCTGATTGCAGTGTCCCCACAGGCCAAGCAATCCCTGGCCACGCTGACCAAGGACGTTCCCAAGCGCCATTCCTTGGCCATGCCGGGAGAGACGGTGCTGAATGGCAACCAGGAGTGGGTGCTGCAGGCTGACCTACCACTCACTGCTGCCATCCGACAGAGCCAGCAGACCCTGTACCACTCCCACCCCGCACACTCGGCTGACCGACAAGGTGAGACCTCCACCAGCTTTGTTTTTGCATGGCTTGTTGCTGGGATCTTGAACAGGATCGGTGGTTTTGCACGGAGGGGTCTTGTTTGTTTTGCATGGGTCTGGGTCTTGCACAGGGGTTTGGGTTTGCACAGGGGGTTGCTGGGGTTTAGGACAGCATCAGCCTTCTTGCACACAGGGTGCTTGGGTTTTTATGGGTTTAGGTTTTGCACAGGGGGTTGCTAGGGTGTAGAGCAGGATCTGGGTTTTGCACAGGGCACGTTTGTTTTATTGCACCGTGGGTTGAAGCTCTGCATGGGGGTTGAGGTTGTGCATGGGAGGTTGCAGAGGGTTTTGCACAGGTGTAGGTCTTGCACAACAGGCTGGGGTTTTGCATAGGAGTTTGGGTTTTGCATAGGAGGTTGCTGGGATTGTGAACAGAACCTGGGGTTTTGCGCAGGGAATACTTGTTTTGCACAAGGAGTTGCATTTTTGAACAGGATCAGACTTTTTGCACAGGTTTAGGTTTTGCAAAGGAGACTGGAGTTTTGCATAAGGGTTTAGGTTTTTGCATTAGGAGTTGCTGGGGTTTTGGACAAAATCTGGGGTTTTGCACAGGGCATTGTGGCGATTTTGCACAGCAGGCTCAGGTTTTGCGTAAGGGTTTGGGAATTGTTGAGTTTTTGAGCAGGAACTTTTTTTGCACAGGGGGATATTTTGCACAGGGCTTAGGTCTTGCACTGGGGTTTTGCACAGAGCTTTAGGTTTTGCATGGGGAGTGGTTTTGAGCAGGATCACCTGCGTCATTGGTAGATTTGGGTTTTGCACTGCAGGCTGGAGATTTAAGTTGCGCCCAGGGTGTTGCTGGCTTTTGCTCAGGATCTGGTGCTTGCATGAGGCTTTCGCTCACGCTGGGGGGCAGCCCTACACCCGAGCTTTGCCACTGTTGACCCCTCATCTCTCCATTGCCTCGCAGCAGTCCGGGTGAGCCCCTGCCACTCCAGACAGCCGTCCATCATCTCCGACGCGTCAGCAGCAGAAGGCGACCGATCGTCCACGCCGAGCGACATCAACTCGCCGCGACACCGGACGCATTCGCTCTGCAACGTAAGTCCCAGGGACAGCCAGGTACTGCAGGGTGCCCACGTTGTGTTCCTGTTGTTTCAACATCACCCGTTTCCATTCTTGCTGCAGGGGGACAGCCCCGGACCGGTACAGAAGAACTTGCACAACCCCATTGTACAGGTAGGGCTGCAATCCCCTGGGAACTCTGCTCCCGAAAGCACATCCTGCACTAGAGAGTGGTTTTTGGGGTACCTAGAGGCACTAATGGAATTATTGAGTTATTCTTTTGTGTTTTACCCTAAAAAGCTGTGGGTGTTCATGCAGATGGTAGCTAGGCCCCCCTGTGGCTTTGCCATGTAGCTGACATCCTATAGCAATGGCATTGAGAAACCAAACTCCCGATAACATGGGCTGGGAGGAGGTCGAGTCTCCCAATGACTCCAGATAGAACAGTTCAGGACCTGGACCTCAGTATTCACTGGGATCTGTGTACTTGCTGGTGTTGAACATCCCCAGAGGAGTTCAACGTGGAGATGTGTTGGGAATGCAGTCAGTGAGCATGACAGGATGGGCTGATGGTTGGACTTGATGACCTTGGAGGTCTTCTCCAACCTTAATGATTCTGTTTAGGGATACGATCAGTGGGCATGGTGGGAATGGGCTGATGGTTGGACTTGGTGATCTTGGGAGTCTTCTCCAACTTTCAGGATTCTATTTAGGAACATGATCAGTGGGAATGGTGGGGATAGGTTTATTGTTGGACTTGGTGACCTTGGAGGTCTTCTCCAACCTTAATTATTCTATCATTCTACTTGGGGTTGGGTTGAAGGTTGGACTTGGTGATCTTGGAAGTCTTCTCCACCTTTCAGATTCTATCTAGGGACATGATCAGTGGGCAAGGTGGGGATGTGTTGATAGTTGGACTTGATGATCCTGGGAGGTCTTCTCCAACGTTAATTAATTTATCATTCAATTTGGGGACACAATCAGTGGGCATAGTGGGAATGTGTTGATGGTTGGACTTGATGACCTTGGAGGTCTTCTCCAACCTTAATTAATTCATCATACAATTTGGGGACACAGTCAGTGGGCATGGTAGGGATGTGTTGATGATCTTGGAGGTCTTCTCCAACCTTCATGGTCTGGTGATTCTGTGACATAGTTTAGTGGGCACACGGTGGGGATGGGTTGCATACACCATGCACGGGAGCCCCACTGCAGGCAACGCCTTAGTGACAAATCCCCCAGCAAAAGATCAGCCATACCACCTCCACCCTTCCTCTCCCTGCAGTCTCTGGAAGACCTCGAGGACCAAAAACGAAAAAAGAAGAAGGAGAAGATGGGTTTTGGTTCCATCTCACGGGTGTTCGCTCGGGGCAAGCAGCGCAAATCCCTCGACCCAGGGCTGTTTGATGGCACGGCCCCCGACTACTACATCGAGGAGGACGCGGACTGGTGACCCCTCGCCCCCAACAATGTACAGCCCCCACGTGTGCATACCAAGTCACCATGTAATTTTGTCCCAACCCCCCTTCCTCGACCTCCCCCTTACATTTCGATTTTATTTTTTTAAGCATTCCAGTAACTCTTCCTTTGTCGTCACTTCTTTTTTTTTTTTTGTCGTTTGGGGGATTTTTGTTTTGTTTTGTTTTGTTTCGTTTGTTTTAATTCCCCAAACCCTCCTCCTTTTCGACGAAACTTGAAACTTGAAGGACTGCTGTGTGTTCTGTAAATAACGGGAATCTCGTGCACTTTGTGCTTGTGACGTCTCTTGTCCGAAACCGCTGTTTTTCTTGGAGCCTGTCCTGCTGGGTGACCCCACCTCAGACAAGGGGACCCCAACATCTTCGGAGACATGAAAAAAAAAAAAAAAAAAAGAAAACAAAACCAAGAAATGAAACCCACCCAACATTTTGCATTCACCCGAGGAGGTGGCAGCACACGGGCTCGTCGTAACGCCTTCCGGAATCTGTGTTTTTTTCCCCTTCCCTTGTGTCGTTTTAATTTATTTGCACAAACCCAGAGAGGAGCTATTCTAACTAAATTATTACGGAAATGTTGGGTTGGTTTTTTTTTGTTTTTTTTTTTTCTTAAATTCTTTTTTGTTGTTGTTGTTGTTGGTTTTTTTATATATATATATATATATTTTTTTTCTTTTCCACGTCGCTGGGGAGGAGGAAGGGGTTGGGAAACGGGGACGGCGTGGAAGCACTTAAAGCCTTGGAAAAACCCAACGACCTCGGAGCTTCCCATTGTGGATTTGGGGTGCTCGCCCTTTGCTGGCATTAAAACCCGGGGGCATTGGGGGCCAAGGGAAAGCAACGTCCCTAAAGAGCAGTGCCAATTTTAAGGGGGACGCTTGGAAACCGCGCTCCGCTTAACGACGAGCTCGCAAACCTGTATGCTTTA